TTTTGTAAAAAATATATTTGTATTGATTTTAGAGAGGAAAGGAGAGGGACAGAGAGATAGAAACATCAATGATGAGAGTCATTGATCAGCTGCCTCCTGCACGCCCCACACTGGGGATAGAGGCCGAAACCTGAGCTGACTGGAATCAAACAGTGACCTCCTGGTTCATAGATCGATGCTCAACCACTGAGCTCTGCCGGCGGTGTATTTATGTTTTTTTAAAGATCCTTCTAGATGCTCCCTGGAGAAGGGCTAGCAGGAATGGCAGGACTTAGAAGCCTGTTGCAATCATGGCAGAGATGACAGTGGCTAATGGTGGCACATGCTAGAAAGAGGAGTCGAGGACATTCCCTGGCATGTGGCTTCAGTCTTGCTTTCATCTTAAGCCGTGACTGAGTTTACTTGTAAAGAAGTTCAAGTTTAGTTCCTCCTTTTATAAAATCACTAGCACTCTTCTCAGAAGCCCTGTCTTTGAGGTCACTGCCTCCTCCCTCTGTCCCTATCTTCCCCTCACTCTTGCTGGAGGGAATAGACGCCCCGGGTCACTGAGTTGCCCAGCCCCGAGTTTCTCCAAGACCCTAATTAGGACCCTGCTTCTGACATGCCTCACAGAGGCACCCGGTCCCTGTGCCTTCCTGGCAGGGAACCAGCACGTGGCTAGGCCGGAAGGTGGTGCTCACAGAGGGAGTGATTAAAGGACTTAATTCTCTAAGTAAATTCCACCTTTTGGCATCCCAGTGGGTAATTTTAACTTACTGCGTTCTTAAATTTCATCAAATGCCTCTTAAGAGTGCAGAAATCTGAATGTGGGCGGCCGGAGCTGACTGTTTGCCAAGATGCGAGGAGTAAACACTGACAGCCTCGGGGGTTTTGAGCCCTGAGCTTTTTTATTGGTTTTCATAAGGAGGTTTAAGGTGCAAGAGAAAGTACACAGGAGATGGAAACAGGTCAAGAAGGATTAACTTGGTGAAGCCGCCCATGGGGGAGATCAAAGGTTTCGCCCAACTAAGAAAGTGGGAAAACATGCCGGTTTCCCTGGCAGCTGCCAAACGGAGCAAGGCTACAGCGTCTGAGTTCCTGTGACTCTTAGGACCTGGCAGGGCCATGCCCCCAGAGTCCCCACCCTGGGGCACTGGGGGAACACTGGCCTGGGACTTGGAGACCCTGGGTTTGTGTCCAGGCTCTGCCCCAGATTCTTATCGGAGATTTTCAGGAAGCCACCACCTCTGAACCTGTAAGAGTACAATGGCACTTATCTACCTACCTCCCAGGGCTGCGAATTGTAAAGCTCTTTATAAACAAAGACCATTATTCAGATTGTTATTTATCTTCACCACTAAGAATTAAATATTCCAGTAACCTCTTTGGCATAATAAAACAGACATAGAGCAACCACTATTTTATTACTGTTTTATTGTGCTCACAGTGACCTGCCCAGATTCCTGAAGGATAAACCAAATAAACCGGGCCAGAAAATGAACTGGGAAAAACAAAACAAAACAAACAAGAAACAGAAAATGAACTGGGGGTTGCCCTGAGCCCCCCAGGTTGGGGTAACAATAGCAGCTGAAACAATGGGCTCTTGGACAGACAGACACAGAGGTTCTATGGGACAGCTCTCCTCCTCCCACTCCCCGCTCCCCCACTCCCACCCCGGACTCGGGCACACAGACCCACACGGCGGTGTCCTCTGCTCCATCCCCTCCCCAGCAGGTCCCTTGGCTCTCCCGCACCTCCTTGCTTCTCCAGAAAACACTTTCTAAACTTGCCTCAAGGTTGTTCCCTCTTTTCAATCCAAGTCTAGTTTGAATGACAGCTCTCCTGATATTATATTTCTACTTTGCCAACATTCTCTGAGCTGGAACCTGCCTCACAGCCCAAATGCAGGACCTTGTGTTGTGGCCTCAAACTCTGGCTCTGCCAGCTTCCAATCCAGACCCCCTCCTGGATATGTCCCCCAGCCCTGAGGTTGTCAAGGCCTCTCAGGACTACGAGAGAGCCTCTATCTCATTTATACACCTATCAGAGTGGCTACAGTAAGAACAGTGACACCACCAAATGCAGGCGAGGACACGGAGAAACCACATTCTGGGTACACCACTCTACATGGCTGATAAAGTGACCTCAAACTACCCACACACATACCAGGGTCAGCATCTGGCTTAGTGTTGACTGACTTACAGGAGTTTAACCACTTGGGGGCGCAGGGAGACAAGCAGAATGGTTCCTCTAACAACTGTACTCTCTGCTGTGCTGAGTGTCCTGGGCAGAATAATGTCCCCAAGATGTCACTTCCTGGTCCTGGAACCTGTCAGTGTGACCTCATTCAGCACAAGGGACTCTGCAGATGGGATTATGTTAAGGATGTTGAGGTGGGGTTTGGCCCTGGATTATCCAATTGGCCCTAAATCAATCCATCTGAGGGGCCTTAGAAGAGGGATGGGAAGACTGCAGTCAGAGAGCTGGAGGCTCTCCCAGTGTCTTGTCCTCATGTCTGGTGCTGGGTTTGGGATCGTGCTGGCATTTCCACAGGTAAGGGTGCGCTGTTGCCTGGGGTTTGGTTTTACACCGCTTTATGGTCAGGTTGATAAAGACGATTTGAATGCATCCCCTTGTGTCACACTGCATTCATCTGGCCCCCATCCTGACCCACTGAGCCGTCTGGATCCTGATTCTGCAATTTAGTCTTCCTGCCTCCTCCTGGCTGTAGGTCTAAGACACAAGCTGTGTGTGTCATCCAGGATGCTGACAACAGGGTGCCCAAGTGGGGCATGCACTGGACACTTGGCAGGCTGTCCACTGGGCACAGGCACAGGCAGTACTGGAGCACTTCACTGCGGCTCCCTCCCGCCTCCCCATGGGCTATCACTCAGCACTAAGCCCAACAACCTAATCACTTACTTAGACATCTCCCTGGGCTCAAGTCACACTCACTGGTATGGAGTTTATGGAATTCTGTCTCCCTCCCTTTGCTCAGATGACTCTTCTACAGGCTTTTCTATAATCGCTCATGGACTGGCAGCCACAGTGGGCAACACTGCAGGGCAGCTTTGGGACACAGTTGAGTCAGGGCTCCTGACTCTCCCCAGGAGGAACCCAGTGTCCAGTACTGTGCACATTGTTGCAAATCTGGGGACATTAGTCTCTTATTCATCATCTTCCAGTAAGCGAATGGTACATCGGTATCCTTGGCTCCTGGCACAGACTCTGCTCCATTTAGAAACTTCTGAGTGTAAGGCCCATCCATGTCCTCCCAGAAGACCCCAAATGGGATTTTGTGGTTGTATTTGATCTCAAGCCGACAATGCCACTTTTTTTCTTGGAACATTTATCATGTCTCATGAGGCAATGGTTTAAGACCATCCATCACTCGCACCTCAGAGCCAGAACGGAAGCTGCAATACTGGAGGGCTCTGGCTGTGAAGAATTCCATTCAAACTGGAGATTTTCTCACTGTGGACATGGTACTAAGCACACGCCTGTCCTTTCTGCCTTGGGTTCATCTATTCTTTTATTATTATTATGTTTCATCCTGATTTCTCCAGGTGAGCCAGAGTAACTTCATTGTTGGAAAATAACAAATTTCCTGAAGCAGCCCCAAACCTCTAGCTGCACAAGGAGCCAGCGCTCACTCGGGGACTTGCAGAACAGCAACCCTTCATCCCCAGGATTACCGGGCAGCAGACAGCCTGAGGGCACCATAAATCTGAAACACCATCTGTCTGGGGAGGGAGAGTGGAGGCCTGTAAATGCTAAGGCCATGAATGGGAGCAATTTCCGGAGCAAGTTTCTTCCTGTTGTGCAAGGTTAACATTTGTTCAGCCTTCAGTGTTCGCCAACTCAGATCTGTCACCTCAAGGAGCCTCCCAGACCTGGAAGCTTCTCCACTTCTTAGTGATGCAAACGTGGACACCTGCAGTGCCTGGGTTTGGGTGTAATCTCATTGGGGTGACTCCTCTGAACTGTCTTGTTCAGATGACCAGCCCTTGTCAAAACTGTCCTCCTGTCTCTGGGGAGGGGTGAAGGGTTGTGAGGATCTCTGCTGCTGAGCTGAAAGGCGGGGGATCCTGACTATTTCTGAAGCTGCAAGGCTATAGGCAGGTGCCCTGGTCTGTCCAATCTCACCTTCCTCCCCCCTGGGTTGGGAGGGCTCATACATGAAGGGACCACGCAGGTGAGTCCACAGGTGGTGCCACACAGGGAGCCTGTGGCTCCACTTTCTCCCCTTCCTTGGCAGATTGACCAGGTGTGTGATGAATAGGGAAATGATTTTGTGTATTTTTGTTTATGGTCCGGACAAGAGAAGCTTAAGAAGCCAAAGAGAAGCTACAGTCCTGGTCAAGGAGACTAAGTCAGCAGGGAAGGACTGCTGCTGCCTGCTGACCACGGCCCGCTGCCCGCCCTGAAAATGATCCAGGAGCACCACTGGGTGCCGGTGGAGGATGCGCCTGTGCCTTCGATCCCCCCAGGCCTGCCTGGCCCGAGCAGTGGTGTCCATTCTCTCCTTTGTACATCATTATATATTGTCCTCCTTCTAAACCCCTCTCCTGAATCCCAGAGCAGCCCTCTGTGCCGGAGTTACGGCCCACGTGAGAAAACGATAAACCAGCAGGACCCTCTCTCCAGGGGGTGCAGAGTGCACCAGGTCTCCCAGGGGTCCCCTGGGGTACCCCCAGAGCCTCTCCGCGGTGCGACCCTCGCTGCGAGCCCTGCACCCTGGGAGAGGTCGCCGGGCGCGGGTGGGGAGGCTGACAGGTGCAGCGGCGCAGAGGGGTCACACCAAGCCTCATGGACACCAGGCGCCAACGTCAGGCACCGAACACTACGTGCGGGAGGTAAAGGGCCGAGCACCGTCTGTGACCCGCCCCTTCGGCCTGACCAGGCTCCGCCCCTTCCTCCCCCAGCCTCGCCTCCTCTGCGCAGACCCCGCCTCCTCTGCGCAGACCCCGCCGGCTCCGCCCCTTTCCCTGGGCCGCCCGCCCTCCCCTGGGACCCCTTCTGGCTGCGCAGCGCACGCGTCCCGGTTTACTACACGTGGGAGCCCAGCACGCCTCCTGCAATGCCGCGGGCGCCCCGGTGCCGCGCCGTGCGCGCTCTGCTGCGGGGCCACTACCGGGAGGTGCTGCCGCTGGACACCTTCGTGCGGCGCTTGGGTCCCCAGGGCCGGTGCCTGGTGCAGCCGGGGGACCCGATGGCCTTTCGCGCCCTGGTGACCCAGTGCCTGGTGTGTGTGCCTTGGGACGCACAGCCACTCCCCGTCGCCCCGGACTTTCGCCAGGTGGGCTTCCCGGGGACCCTGGTCGGGCCTGCGGGGTGGGGTGAGGGCCGGACGCTGTCGCCCTAATGCTCCCGGGCACCTCCGTGCCCTGCGACTCGAGACCCCTCTCCCGCAGGTGTCCTGCCTGAAGGAGCTGGTGGCCAGGGTCGTGCAGCGGCTCTGCGAGCGCGGCGCGAGGAACGTGCTGGCCTTCGGCTTCGCGCTGCTGGACGGGGCCCGCGGCGGCCCGCCCATGGCCTTCACGACCAACGTGCGCAGCTACCTGCCCAACACTGTGACCGAGACGCTGCGCGGCAGTGGTGCCTGGGGACTGCTGCTGCGCCGCGTGGGTGACGACGTGCTCACCCACCTGCTGGCACGCTGTGCGCTTTACCTGCTAGTGCCTCCCAACTGTGCCTACCAGGTGTGCGGGCCACCACTCTACGACCTCTGCACCCCCAGACACGCGGGCGGGAGCCTGACGCGCCTGGGACCCACGCGCCAGGCCTGGAATGGCGGCGGTGGCGGGGAGGCCGGGGTGCCCCTGGGCTGCCGAAGGAGGCCACGGCGGAGCAGTGCAGGGGGAAGTCCGCCTCAGGCCAAGAGGCCCAGGCATGGCCCCATCTCAGAACCATACCGGGGGCCAAGTGCCAGCGGCCCCCGCGTGGTGACACCTACCAAAGCCGCCGCGGAAGCCTCGCCTGGGGAGGGCGAGCCGCGCAGGCCCCGGCGCCCCTTACCACTGCTGGGCCGCGAGCGGGAGGCCGGCTGCCCTTCCTCTCGGCCCTCACATCCCCAGGCCGCTCCTGGTCCCCGAGTGGTCGCCGAGACCAAGCAGTTTCTCTACTGCTCGGGTGGCAGGGAACGGCTGCGCTCCTCCTTCCTGCTCAACTCCCTGCAGCCCAGCCTGACGGGGGCCCAGAGACTAGTGGAAACCATCTTTCTGGACTCGAAGCCCCTGCAGCGGGGGACTCCCCGCAGGACGCGCCGCCTTCCCACGCGCTACTGGCGGATGAGGCCCTTGTTCCAGGAGCTGCTGGGGAACCATGCGCGGTGCCCCTACGGCGCGCTGCTCAGGGAGCACTGCCCGCTGCGGGACTCAGCCACTCCGGCCACCCCAGCAGCGGTGGAGGAGGCGGCCGCGGCTGTGGGGTCCCGCAACCAGGGGTGCAGTGGAGTGGGCGTCAGCTTCCCGGAAGAGGACACTGGCCCGCCGCGCTTGGTCCAGCTGCTCCGCCAGCACAGCAGCCCTAAGCACGTGTACGGGCTGCTGCGGGCCTGTCTTCGCAGGCTGGTGCCCGCTCGTCTCTGGGGCTCCAGGCACAACGAGCGCCGCTTCTTGAAGAACGTGAAGAAGTTCATCTCTCTGGGGAAGTTCGCCAAGCTCTTGAGTCAGGAGCTGACCTGGAAGATGAAAGTGCAGGACTGCGCCTGGCTGAGCCAAAGCCCAGGTGAGGAGGTGGGTGCCAGGGCCCTGCAAGCCCAGGCCCCATAACCGGCAACACAGTAGGTCCCCTCCTTCCCTTACCCCCACACGCCTTGCTTCTTGCTGCTGCTGAATGGCTCTGTCTGGTTTCTCTGCCTCTGATCCGCTCTCCCACCCAGTTTGCATCAACCTACAAGACTTTTCAGGACTCTGGCAGGTTCTGGGTGCTGGGAATGGGCAGTAACACATGGAGCATGTGGAGTAGGGCTGTGGCAACAGGATGGAAGCATCCAGAGCTCTCCTGAGGGTTCCCGAACGTTATTCATAATCTCTTTTCTGACATTCATGTTTATCACCATGAAATAGTGTCCCGCTGAGACAGAGGCTGGGAATAGAATCCACTCTTGCTGGGGGATGGGAGATAAAGCTCTGGCTTCCCAGATGCATCTGGTCAGCCAATACCAGATCCCAATGTAAGTTTCAATTGTGCAGCTGCTATGCCAGGGCAGGGCAGCCGGATGAGTGAAAAGACTGTGTTCTGCACAAGGACCCTCCCCGTCTTTAGGAAGGAAAGGGTCACCAGGGAGCAGCAGGACGCTCCTCCTATGTCAGGGAAGTGGATGGTTGCAATGAGCGCTTCAGGGAGTTTTCTGCTAACCTGGCCTGGCTCTCCCCCCAGCCCTTTGGTTTTCTGGTCTTGATGATGAGGTCCCTCTGGTCCAGCTACCACTCAGCCCCTTCTTGGCCAGTACCCTCTTCGTCTGCGCACCAGTGCCAGGTGGTGGGACCAGCCACCCTCCCTGCCCCCCCCCCCCCCCGACAGAGAAAAAGCAGTGAGAACAGACCCAAGTTTTGCTATACTTGATCTCCCCCAACTCCCAAGACATCTAGGACTTTAGAATAAAGTTGGTTCGAGCCCTCTGTTACAGCCAGACTAGCCCACCCAGATGCATGTTACAGCTTTCTGGGGTGGGGGACCTTAAAAATGCCCATATCCATCCCCAAAGATCCCAATAGCAGGGATGTCCTACAGGGAGGCAGAGGGGTACACCTTCTCAGACTCCCAAGAGGTGATTCAGACAGCAAGGTGACCTTCCGGCAACTTGTGTGTGTTTTTTTTTTTAATTGTGGAAAACACCACGTAACATGAGATCTACCTCTCTTTTTTTAAATTGATTTTTTACAGAGAGGAAGGGAGAGGGATAGAGAGCTAGAAACATCCATGAGAGAGAAACATTAATCAGCTGCCTCCTACACACCCTCTACTGGGGATGTGCCCGCAACCAAGGTACATGCCCTTGACCGGAATCAAACCTGGGACCTTTCAGTCCACAGGCTGACGCTCTATCCACTGAGCCAAACTAGTTAGGGTGAGATCTACCTCTTAACCACTGTTTGCATGTACAGGACAACAGTGCTGAGTGTAAGCAGGGTTGCACAGCAGATCTCTAGAACTTGTTCATACTGCGTGACTCGTATACCCACAGACCACGTGGGATAGTGTGGGTGACCCTCAGGTGCGTCAGACTCAGTTGAGTTAGCTGTCACACGCTCACTGTACTTGGGGCTTCTGCTTGCCTTGTGAAAGGAAAGGAGAGTTTGACTTCTATGACTCTGTTCCCCAACTTCCAATGAGGCCCTGCTCCGCCATGGTGTTTTCCCAGGCGACTAGGACCTCTGCGGCATCCTTGCTCACTCAAGCGGTACCCTAGGCATTTGTTTCTTTCTGTGGCTGGGCCATGCCAGCTGCCCACTGGCGGAATAAATGATGCACGGACAGCCTTGGCCTCTGAGCCACCTCTCCAATCACGGCTGTTCACGGTCACCTCTTCCACCCTCTCCTCCTGGGACACCCCTTCCTCTGTGCTGGCCTTCTGCCCTGCCAGGCGCTCTGTTCACAGCATCCAGCTCCTTTGCTTCTGTCTAGCCAGCCTTGACCATTGTCCCACCTGCCATGCTGCCTTTTGACTCCCGTCAGCTGACGCATCTGCTGTAGTGTTTAGAGACATCGCAAGACAGGTTCCTGATGGAAACTCAGGAGCTGCCATGGCTCCTTGCTTGCTTACTCACTGTCTCCCTGGGCTGTCTTATCCTTGGGCTGGTGGCAACCCCTGCCCCTAACCTGGGCATACACTGCTGCTGGCTTAGGTGGTGCTCTGCCTCCAACTCACATATGACCACACCATCACTTTTCCTGAACTACCATCCAAGTGTGTCCCTCCTGTAGAGGCCACCTTTACCTTCAGGGCAGAGTCTGGGTGGGGCCTTTACCGGATCTTTGTTTTGAATTCCATTAGTTTTTCTGATGGTTATATCCTTCCTCTGCTCTGTCCTCTGACCTCTCAGGGTCTGGCGGTGCCTTCTCTTTGGTCCCGCTCAGCTGCGCCTGTGTTCTGATGTGTTGCTCACATTTTTATATCAACTGCATTTAAGTATTTTTGTCATTTCTTCTTTGATCAGTGAGTTCTTTAGACATATATTTTAGATTTTTCAAATGAGTGGATATGTTATCTTTTTGTCACTGATTTCCGATTCAGCTGTGCAGTGGTCTGAGTGACCCGAGCTATTTGAAACTTGCTTTGTAGTCTCATCGACAGTCTTCACCAGTGTTCCTTGTGTCCCGGAGGCCCGGTAGGTGGCTGTGCTTGCTATGTGCTGTGGGAAACTGTGTGTCCTTCCCGAGGCCAGTGCTGAGCGGCGCTTGTCTCATTGTCCTCCTGTTCTGACCGTTTGCGTGGTTTCGTTAGGCATAGCACGTTTGAGAAGTTTTATCTTCCTGATGTACGTCTACTAATTCTTTTTACCTTAAAGTCTGTCAGAACAGCTTAGAGAACATCTGCACTGGCTTCTTTTTAGTTAGTGTTTACCTCATCATTTGTCATTCTTTGATTTTTATTTTCAACCTTTTCATATCTCCATAATTTAGATGTGTCTTCTTAGTAGCATATCACTGGCATTTTAAGTTCATTTTCGATCCAGTGTGACAGTCTTTGCCACATTCCTATAGAATCTGATTCGTTTTCACTTTTCTATAATTATAGTTGTGTCTGCATGTTTTTCTTTTTTCATTTGCCTGCCTTTCCCATGCCCTTATTCCTCGTGTCCTGACCGAGGATGTGTGTGCTCATTCTGGTTTTGCCTCCCAGTAGCTAGAAATTATACTCTCCATTCTCCTCCCTTAGTGGTTTCTCTTCTCCTGAGCAACCTAAGGGCCTTAGCATATTTTAATCTGGTCCCACCCCAACCTGGATGCTGTTTTCCCACTGGCCTGGCTATGTCCTAGATTAGACACGGTTACTGTTTCCCACGGTTATTGTGCATTCAGCTTTGTCCCCACCCCGTTGTTCCCCATCCTATCTTCTGTCCCACACCTGCCTCTGGGTCCCTGTTCTTCTCCTTTACATGTTTCTACCTGTGCCGTGGCCCTTGTGGCAGCCGGGTGACACCGTGGACCCCTCCCCACGATGTTTCACAGAACAAAATGCAGAGGACCACGGAGAGGACAGCAGCCCAGGTGCGCGTTTGGAGTCCCACAGCACGTGGCCTCCCTTAGCCGGGTGTGACTGCCACCACTCACCGGCTGTCCAGCCTGGAGAACCCCAGGCATTTCTGGATCTTGCTGCTCTGTGAGGATCCCTCAAATCATACACACCAACACGTGACTGCATCCACGATGGGCCATGCAGGTGGGGTGAGCATGTGCCTCTCGTTCCAGGGGGTCGCTGTGTCCCAGCCACGGAGCACCGTCTGAGGGAAGCGGTCCTGACCAAGTTCCTGTGCTGGTTGATGGGCACATACGTGGTTGAGCTGCTGAAGTCGTTTTTTTATGTCACGGAGACCACGTTTCAGAAGAACCAGCTCTTCTTTTTCCGGAAGAGCATCTGGAGCCAATTGCAAAGCATTGGGATCAGGTATCACAGCCAGAGCCTCGTTGACCTGTTTCTTCCCATCTGCAGACATAGCCCCGGTTCCTGCTCCGGGTTCCCTGTGTCCCCACCTCGGGGCCCCCACCCAGCTACTCCAGGAGCCATCCTGGCCCATACGGGTCTTTGCTGGCATGGACTCCTGGAGCGCCTCCTTCCTTGCCTGTAGCTAGTTAATCTCTAGGGTCTCGAAAGTGGGAACAGTGGTGCAAGCAAACCACTTATCCCTGGCGTGTGGTCAGATTCTATTTTAATTTGCACAGAACAAGTGGGACTTGTGTCACCAGATAAACCTGCCTACTTGACAACTCACTGTGGGAAGTGTCTGGAGTCAGAGGTGTCTGCTGTCAGGCAGGACCCTGAGAGGGAAACTTCCAGAAGGTCGACTCACCTCTGAGTGGATCCGTCTTAGCTGCTCAGCGGCTGTTCCGGGTACATTGTGCAGGGCTGTGACAGATGTGGGCCGGATTGGGACCCGTCAGGGTTAGGGGTGTGACAGCCCGACACATAAGCTTTCCTCCTCTCTGTGGCCAGCCTGGCCGAGGGCTTGGCGAGGACCAGATCAGAGCTCCCGGGCTCCGTGCACATTTGGGTCAAACTCAAGCCTGAACCACACATTTCTGAAAGGAGGCAGCAACTCCTGAACCAGGGCCCAGTCCCAGTCCTCCTGCACCTGGGAGAGGGTCTAGAAGCCCTCATCATGGGTCTGAGGAGATGCACAGTGCATCCTATTTAATAATTTAAAAGTTCATGACATATGATCCCAAGTGGTCACTCTTACCCTCACTGTGGGGACCATCATCTTGCCTGTTGGGCATTCAGGTGCCATCCAGCCTTTCTTCACTACCAGGCCCACAGCTCAGGGAGTATTCTTAACCTCTGCCCCTCCCTGTAGGAGGTTTCAGGGGAGAGGCCAGCAAGGAGCTGGGGGTCCCTGGAGAGTCATTTCTGACTCTTGTGAAGTTGCACCAAGTAGCCCCCCCCTCACATTCCTTGAGACAAAAATGGGGTCTTTCTCCCAGGGGTCCCGTCCCATTCGTACTAGCCAGGGCTCTGTAGCAGAGGGAACGGGCGTCCTGGGCTCCTGGCGCAGAGGGCGCTCCAGCAGCGCCTGGTCATTGTGTCGGTGCAGCCTCCTGGACACGGCACCTCTGCAGGTCGACCACCTGGGTTCTTGTGTGGCTGCTGAGCCCATCTCACGAGGTTCTGTTTCAGACAACACTTTGATCGGGTGCAGCTTCGAGAACTGTCAGTGGCCGAGGTCAAGCGATACCAGGAAGCCAGGCCTGCTCTGCTGACGTCCAGACTCCGCTTCCTCCCCAAGCCCAGCGGGCTGCGGCCAATCGTGAACATGGACTACGTCGTGGGAGCCAGAACGTTCCATGGGGACAAGAAGGTCACCACCTTTGTTTCATTTTTTAAGCAAATAGCATTAACCCCCAGGCCTGGTGTCCAGGTAGACAGGCCGGAGGGCCCCGGGGTGCCATGGGTGGGCGTGCTCTGGGTTCGAGGAGGAGCTCGCAGGCAGGCCAGTCCTAGAAGCTGCTGCACAGGCTCCAACCCCACAAGCTTCTCATGACGTGGACCTGTGACATGTGGGACTGACCCAGTGCCCGTGGTCCTGCCGTGGCACTGGGGATGCGCACTCTCCGAGATGCAGGGACGTAAGGAACTGGGCCATTTAGCCTTCGGGTTCCTGGACCCTGTAGGACCCCTGTGGTTAGCATCCTCTTCCACCTATGGCATCTCTGTGTCACCAGCAGTTCTGACCCCCTTCAAGTGCCTCCCTATAGCATTTGGGGCTGATTTTGTTGTTATTGGTGTCTCCTCCTCCCCAAAAGAAAGTGAAGCTGTTGGTGTGGATTAGGGATCTGGTTTGGTCTGTGAATGAAGATGATGAACTCCTCGTCTGTGGTGGGGGTGGGGCCAGGTGGGAGAGATGGTCCTGTGTGTTGCTACTTGGTTTTTTATACCACGTTTCTAGGAATTCCAGGGTGAGTCCCTGGGGATGCCCTGGGTGTGGGTGGGTTGTCTGGCCCTTCCACCTGAGGGAAGCTGGTAGTCAGGGGGGTGCAGAAGCAGAGCTGCCCCTCATCACTGGGCCCCAGAGGTGGGATGGGGCCATCGGGCCCCAGATCCCCTTGGCTGGGGGCCTCCTGTGACCATGCCGCCATCCTGGACTGGCCCTCTAGGTGCAGCATCTCACCTCCAAAGTCAAGACGCTGTTCAGCGTGCTGAACTATGAGCGAGAGCAGCGCCCTGGCCTCCTGGGCGCCTCTGTGCTGGGCATGGACGACATCTATAGGGCCTGGCGTGCCTTTGTGCTGCGCATGCGGGCCCAGGACCCAGTGCCTCAGCTGTACTTTGTCAAGGTGGGTGTTCCCTCCCCCAGTGAGTCCACTCAGCACCCTCAGGCTCACCCAGTGGGTGACTCTGCATCCTGGGCCCTGGCCAGAGCCTGCAGTGTGGCTGGCTTTTTCAGGGCCTGTGTCTGCCAGGGTGAGGTCCCTGTGGTGGAGCTGCAGACTTGGGAGAGGGAGGGCAGGTGACCCTGTCTCCATTTGGGAGCATCTGACTCTTGGTGGCAGAAGCTTTGAGCCTTCCTTGATGGCATGGACTCTGCAGTTCTGCACCCCAACTCCACAGTGGCCCCTGCTCTTGGGGAAAATATGACACTGCACCTGCTCAGGGCGTTGGGGGGTCCCCTTTTGAGAAGGTAATGCACCAGGCTCAGCTCACAAAGCCGGGGTGCCCTAGCACCCCGATCATCTGCCAGGGACCTGCTGCTCATCAGCCTGCCCTCAGAGAGGGACACGGGCCCACCCTGGGGTGTCACAGTCTGAGGTGTGGAGAAAGGGATACAGAGCCGCCCTGGGGTGCTCAGTCTGGGGGATGTGGGGATGTCTCAGCGAGAGCTCCACAGTGGGGTGGTATGTGTGGCTGGGATGGGGCTCTGGGAAGGGTGCTCAGGGGCTCCCGGGTCCTGCCGTGTCCTATCAGCCCAGGGTTGTGTAAGGACAGGCTGGGCCCCAGCTTGACAGAGCAGACGAGTGGGACCCAGGACACAGGGACAAGGTGGGTGTGAGCAGCCTCTAAGCGCACCTCCCTCCGTGCAGGTGGACGTGATGGGTGCGTACGACGCCCTCCCTCAGGACAGGCTGGTGGAGGTGATCGCCAACGTGATCCAGCCCCAAGAGCACACATACTGCCTGCGCCAGTACGCCGTGGTCCAGAGAACTGCCCGCGGACGCGTCCGGAAGTCCTTCAAAAGACACGTAAGACTGGGTGTGTGCCGTGAGGAGGTGTGTCCATGACATGGATGTCTGCCCTGCAGTCCATCCCTCCCCCATGGGCCCTGAGCCCCACTTCCTGAGTTCCCATGCTGGCAGGTGCCTCCGTCCTGGTCATCCTCATGCTCTTGTTCATGTCACAGTCGGTCCTCTCTTCAAGCCACTCCTGCCTGCTGTCCCTTCACAGGGCCCCAGGTTTGTGCCAGGAGGTGGCAGCACAGCCATGTGTGTGCTTCTTGGTGTCCCCGTGGCTGCCGCCTGGGAGCCCAGGCCTGGCCTGTGGCTACTCAGTCCCCACAAGTGCTTCATGGCTGTCGCTGTGCTGGCTCTGAGGAGAGGGCCAGAGGGCACGTCACCCAGAACACCTGGGCCTCGCTCACCGTTCTGCCTCCCAGGTGGGGCCGAGGGGCCGAGGGCGCCCTCCCTCAGTGGTGCAGGGAAAGGACACCTGGAGTTCAGGTTGCACTTAAGGCAACCTGATCCAGTCCCAAGTGCATATGGGGATTTCCAAGCAATTGTCATGAGCATGTTGAAGTGTGAGGGCACCCAACCTCCTAAACCTGTGCCATGGGGAAGGCAGGAGCGTGCAGAAAAAGTTCCCCCAGAAATTCTTGGGAAAGGCATACCTGAAAACCCCTGGGCAAGTCAGGTGAGTGTGGGCTGCAGATCCAGAGTGTACAACACAGTGAGATTGTACATTTGTGGACAGATGGTGCCACCACCTGCATCAAAGGATAGAAAGTCACCAGCAGCCATGAGGCTCCCCCTTCCTCCCCAGGTGCCTGCCGCTCTGACCTCCCTCATGCGGACTCTCTTACCTGTCTCAAATTCCGTGAACGTGAATCAGACGGATCGCCCTTCCTGTCTGGTTCCATTGCTCCCCAGTGAGTCTGAGAAGCAGCTGGGCCCCTGGGAGCAGCTGCCGTTCACCTCACCCGGGGCGTGTTCCTGTGCCCACACTGCTCTCCGCTGCTGGTGGGCCTTTGCTGGTTCTGGGTTGGGAGGTTTGAACGCTGCTGAGAGCATTACTGCGATGTGTCATTTGGTGGATTCGGGCGGAGATGCCAGGCCACAGAAATGCCTTGTTTAGTCTTAGACGTCACCAAAGTGTGTTCCTGAGTGGCCTGTGCCAGCGTGGCCATGAAGCACTGCGGCCACGGGCCAGGCCTGGGCTCTGGGGGGCAGCCACGGGGGCACCAAATATGGGAGGGCCAGGCGTGCTCATGCTCACACACTTGCAAGTGTCAGCACTCGGGGGGTAGCCCGGATTCCCTGAGGGCGGGCACAGTGTCGTGTATGGTCTTGACTTGCTTTCCCAGTGACCTTTCTATCCACCCTTCACGTGGACATTTCTCGCGCGAGTGCCTGTTCAAGTCCTCTCCTTGCTCTCTGACGGGCTGTCTACCTTTGTTATTGATGTATCAGGGAAATTTGTATGTTCTGGGTACGAGTCCTCTGCCAGGTGTCTGCCTTGGTTTGTCTCGCCTTTTTAGTTGCAAGGGGAGTCTTGGTGACGAGAAATTGTTGATTTTAAAGAAGTCTTTATCCACCGTTTATGGCTGAAACTGTGTTCTGTTTTGGAAACCAGCCCCTTCTTATACACATGTTTTCCTTCAAGATGTTTATTGTTTCAGCTTTCTCATTCAGGTGTTGGGTCCATTTTGAATTAATTTTTGTATATGGTATTTTTAAACCGCTCTGTTTCTGCTTAAATCCAGATTTCTCGTGAACCTGCTTCCAGTTCACGACCTTCTCTTTTTCTGTCTCTAATCTTTGGTTAAACCCACTTACTGAATTCTTAAGTCCAGCTATCCTATTTTTCAGTTTTAGAAATCCCATGTGAATTTTCTCATACATTCCAAGAATCTGGTAAAGTTCCCCGTCTTCTCCCCTATTTTATTGACTCTGTCATCTTTACTGATTTTTAAATTCCTTAACTCAGTAGCCACCCTGCCCATGATGGGTTCTGATGGATCGTGTCTGTTTCTGCTGTTTCACTTGTGGTTTGGTCACACAGGCCTGTTCTTCGGCACGCCTCACTATTTTTTTCTTGAGATGCCAGACTTTTAAGTTAAAAAATTTAAAACATGGGTTTTTACATAATGTTTTTCTTTGGGGAGGATAATATTTTCCTGAAAGTTGGAGTCGTGAATGAGCTTAATCCTGCAAGGGTCGTCTTTACACTGGGCTGGTCTCCTTCACTTTGCTCCTTCCCTGGCTGTGGCCCTTTGCTGTCTCACCTGAGGGCAGGTGTGCAGCCCTTGGTGGGCCCGGGCTCCCCTCAGCCCCCTCCTCCCCAGGTGGCTGCTATGACCACACTCAGCTCCAGCTTCTGCCGGGTTTCCTGCAGTCTCCCCGGAGCGCCTGACGCTGGGGGTTGGTGAGGATTGGAGAAGAAATCACTCACAGTTTTTGACTCCTTTGTCTGCAGCCCCCTCCTCCAGCACCTGACCCTCAATCCCAGTTGCTTGATGGCCTGAACCCTAAGTGTCTTCAGTCATACATAGCCCCCCACTTTTTGCTTAAGCTCCACCTCCTTGAATTAGGCCTCAGAGATTGTGGGATGCACCCAGGACAGGGACTCTAAGTCCACCCGCTTCCTGCCTCTCCAGCACTCCCACGAAACTTCCTTCTGCATTCTGCCGGGCACAGTAGTCAGGGGGAGGTGCCCGGAGGTGACGTCCCTGTGATTTTGTAGCACTCTCCTCTCCCTGCATCTCCATCCTCCTCTTCCTGAACACAGGCTGCACGGCGGGGCCTCCCTGGGTTGCTCCCACTCCCGACTTAGCCTTCCATGATGTGACTTCTGCTTGTCGATGTCGAGGCCAGGGCTCGGGAGGGAGGCACCCACCTGCCTCACTCCTGTCCTCTTCACCGGCAGGTGTCCACCTTCACGGACCTCCAGCCTTACATGAAACAGTTTGTGCAGCAGCTGCAGAAGAGCTCGCTGAGGGACGCCGTGGTCATCGAGCAGGTTGGTGTGGGCAGACGGCAAGGCCACCCTCAGCCAGCAGACACTTGCTGTGCCTTCAGCCGCATTTCTTTTTGCACCTCACTGAATTCTGTGTTACTGTCCAGCTGCTTTAAGATTCACTAGGGATGTCTTCTTCCTCCGTTTTGATCTTGAGGCCAGAAGAAAACATGCCCCTGTGCTATGGGAAGACACATTAGATTTGACCCCTCATGTGGGAAACCCAGGTTTCTTGTGCCTGCGCAGGGACTGTTCCTGAGTTTGTGGCTTTCTGCAGAACCACTTTCGGTTGAGTCAGTCCTCCAAGCATGGCTCTGAGCCCCCTGATGGGTGCCTTTCCTGTGGCCACAGGGCCCCACCACGTCCACAGAGTCAGTGTGTAGCACAAGCCGTCTGGGCCAGTGGTCCTGGGTCTGAGCCCCGTCAGAGCCACGGATGACCCATGCTGTTCCTGCTCGTCCGCTACCGCCCACCCCTTGTCCCCCCTGCACGTCTCTGCCTAGCGTGTCCTGCTTACCCACGTGCGTCTCTCACTTGCTTTTCCAGAGCTGCTCCCTGAACGAGGCCAGCAGCGACCTGTTCGATGTCTTCCTGCACCTGGTGTACAACCACATCGTAAGGATCGGGGGCAAGTGAGTCAGGGCCACCTGCTGCACGTTGGTAGAGGGCCGTGCCCCACGTGGACGGCCCATGGCAGGGCTTTGCAGGCGGGTGTGTGATCTCTGTGTGTGTGTGTGTGGTGTACGCATGTTTGTGTGCTCTGAGCAGCATGTCTGCACAGGTATGTGGTCTGCACGCATGTCTGTGATATGAACATGTGCTCCACCCTTCTGCCCACGTCTCCCCCCAGGTTTTATATCCAGTGTCAGGGGATCCCCCAGGGCTCCATCCTGTCCACCCTGCTGTGCAGCCTGTGCTACGGAGACATGGAGAGCAGGGTGTTCCCCGGACTCCAGCAGGACGGGTAACAGGTTCCTTGTCATTGGTGCCCTTGGTTGCTTTCGCCCCCTCCCATGCTCTGGTGCAGACAGGGCTGCCCTTTCTTCACGGGAGGTTTCACAGGAGGTAGCGAGCAGGCCTCCGACGTAGGCTGTGAGTGGCTCCCAGTGCACCAGGGAACACGGCGTTTCCAGAGGACCCGGCTGGTGGCGGTGCTGGCGTGATCACGGCGCCCCTGCCCCCTGTCCCCAGCCAGTACCGAGTCGCACGGATTACTTTGTTTTCGTGCATATGAACTCGTATTTAACACCCTTCCTCGTGCCTCTTTTCCTACCAGGGTGCTCCTGCGTTTAGTGGACGACTTCTTGCTGGTCACCCCTCACCTGACACAAGCGAAGGCCTTTCTCAGGTAAGGTCTGCACACACGTGTATCTCGGCAGATGCTTCTGTGGCCTCATGCTGCTGACCTTGCTCATATCAGAAGTAATTCTCACCTTGTGCCCAAGCTTCCCACGGTGTCCCAGCATCTCTGCGGGGGCATGTGGCACAGTTGTGCTGTTCTGAGACCCCAGGCATACAGCGTGGAAGCCTGGAGCTGACAGCGTGGCACCAGGACACATGTATCCCCAGAGGGAGGGAGCAAGTGTGGGTCAGGCGCCTGGGCTGGGCTGAGTCCTCGGGGCTCCTTGGAATGTATGCGCACGCAGTACTTTGGGCAGCGGAGAGAGCCGTGGCACCTCCTCTGGGAGGCTGTGCCCAGGAGGTGCCCATGAAGGAGTACAGGAGCCGGCCCTGCGTGCTTGTCTGCAGCTTCTAGTGTGGCGTCTCTTTTTTTGTGGTTGGCATTAGGAGAGAACAGAGGGGGGTCTTGTTAAGTGACAGTATTATAAGGCACGGGGATCGCATGAGGTGTTGGTCATAAGTTCATTTTGTTCAAACTAAAATTCCACAGACAGGGAACCTTGCCTTGGCGTGCTGCCTGCAGCGTGCCGTCCCTTCCAGGACCCCGGGAATCTGGGGCTTGTTTCACAGGGCAGTTTTCCCAGGAATGAGAGGAGGATAAAAACCAAACTCATAGAATGTCACTGCCTGAGGGGCATTGTGCTTTGGTCGCGGGGTTGGCTTTGGAGAACCCATCAGGATGGCGTCCCGATACCCCGTGTCTGCCCCCGGGGGATCCTCGGGGCTCGGAGGATGGGCAGTACTGCTGGGACATGCCAGGCCTCACGGCCGCACACAGTAGCCCACACAGGATGGCGTGCAAATGTAAATTCATCCAAGTTCAATCATGACAAATCCAGGACCCCGGGCACCAGCCACCTTCAAAGACATCAGTAACCACACGTGGCCAGTGGCTGCCAGAGGGCACGGCACAGGCAGGGAGCGTGGCCTCCATTGTGGAATATTGGGGGGCGGGGGGGGGCACCGCTGCTCTGAGGGTGGGCAGGGAGGTGGCTCAGAATGTGTATGCTGGGGTCCACTGGGAGCTGGACTATTGGGGACATATACAGAGTTATTGCAAGGAGTCGGTTCATGTGATAGTGGGGGCTGGCGAGGCGAGTCTGCAGTTCACAGGGCAGCAGCAAGAAGGGCAGGAGCCGGAGCCACCATCCATAGGAGGACTCTCCCTTCTCAGGACACCCTGCTTCTGCTCTTTTTTCTTTCTTTTATTGAATAAGATATTACAAATGTGTCCTTATCCCCCCAATGTCCCCTCATCCCCCCCAATCCTGCCCTCACCCTCACCCCCTGTTGTCCACATCTATCACTTATGCTTATATGCATGCATACAAGCTCTTTGGTTGATCTTTTCCCCTCACCCCCACCCTCCCCTACCTTCCCTCTGAGTTTTGAGCATCTGATCAATGCTTCTCTGTCTCTACATCTGTTTTTGTTCATCGGTTTATGTTGTTCATTATAATCCACAAATGAGTGAGAGCATGTGATATTTATCTTTCTCTGACTGACTTATTTCACTTCCTGCTTCTGCTCTTGGGCCCTTCTGATGGGTGTGCCCACCCTACTATGGAAGGTAACCACCTTTAAGCTGTCTGAATGCAGATGTTGACCTCACCTACAAAGACCCCAGCACATGTTGGGACTGTGGTCTCTGAGTGGACACAGCTGGCCATTGCAGAGAGGACCTGTGTCCTCCATGGGCCTTGCCTACCCTCCCATCTGGCCGGTCTCAGTTCTCAACCTGGAGCCTGAGCTCTTTGCTCACCTGTCTTACCTGTGAACAGGGTCATGTGGCATCTACTTGGCCTTCAGGACTCAGCCTTGTGTCTCCCTCCCCTGCTGCCGGCCTCTGCCCTCCTGGCAGCCACCCTGTTCTTTGATCGTTGGCACTGGTCATCCAGAGCCTTTGGAAACCAGCACCTGGAGGCCCACAGGGTCGGTGTGGCCTCCCTTCAGTGCCAGCCCTTGCTCCCCGCTGCCTCTTGGGGTTTTACATAGCATCGAGAGAGTGTGTCCGAGACCCTGAGTGGCATCGCTCTCCCAGTGGCTGAAGTGCCTGTCTGTTTCAGGACCCTGTCCAGGGGAGTGCCCGAGTACGGCTGCAAGCGAACTTGCGAAGACAGTAGTGAACTTCC